TTTATAACATTAGGTATATATTTTATGGTGTGTCCTGATAATGACTTAAGTAATTCCGAAAATGCTTGATAAACAGTATAATCAATAAATATACCTATTGATATATTATTTAATTTTTATACACTTTAAATACCCTTGTATTTCTTTTCAATTCCTTATCAACCCAGTGTGTACACACCCAGTATCATCTAGACAAATTTTCTAAAAGTTAAATGAAATATAATAAGATATACAGTATCGACCATCGAACACCAATTTGCTGTGCACAAGTGTTGTTAGAGAAAGCAGGAATTGAATATCAAAGATGCCAGTTTGTATGGCCTGGTCAATGTTACAACTTGATTGGGCTGTATAAACTGCCAATGCTGGTATTATTCGTTTCCTGCTCGCTCTAATGTTAAATCTCTTTAATTTTTGACATTTACAAGTGCAATACCTATTGAAAAACTTTCAGTGACTGATACTGTATACTCATCGAGGACAAAAAGCTCTAGTAAATCAAAAGCACTTACTCTTTTGGCAGACAGGGCAGCTGTACCTCTTCTTTTTCTTTGAAATGACTTTAGTGGCACTTTTTAACGATTTGCTGCTACAGGGATGCTCTAAATAGTAATCAGCATTTTCAATTTTCAAGGGCGGTAAATCACAATGCGAAGTCAACAGTTCACTCTCAACTTTTGGCTGTGTAATGTATTCACCAACTTCTTGTTTAATGTCACTGATATCTTTCATCACAACGTCGATCTCGGTTTTTGGTTGTATAACATATTCACTAACTTCTTGCTTAATATCACTGATCATTTTAAAGTCGCTAGTGTTCTCAAGATCTTGTTTAATATTTTCAATTTCTGTCGGCAAGGGCAAATCCGAACGTTGTTCAATTTTAGGCATTTCACATTCGATAATTTCGTCAATGTATACGAATTGTTCTGTTGGTTGGAATTCAAAAATATCACCATGTTCATATTTAAACGTATCAGAACGTTCGTTGTCCATTGTTCCACTGGCATCAAATCCTGGTTCTGTTTTAATAAACTCCTCAAGATCAATGGGGTCTTGTTCTTGTTTTACGTCCATGGTTTTAACAAATAACAAAAATTGTGATATTTGAGATAAAAATTATACTTATTTTACACAAATTAATTTACTTTACAGTTGACAGTACACAAGAGCAAGTGCTGCCAACCTCAACCGGATGAAATTAATAGCCGTGCGTATGATCGAAAATTGCTGCTTTTATGAACTTATCGAACTATGGCCGTGTCAAATGTGAAATTCATTCCTTTCGTTTAAAACATTTAATTATGATTTAAAAACAGGGCAGTGGCCATACAATTAAAAAAGCCGTAAAAACACGGCATTTGCAGTGTCATTGGCAGCACTGAGAGCACAGAACACTTACTCTACTGAGAGAGCATCAGCGATTTACCGCAGTGTTGCCAAGGTCAACCGATGATAATCTCCATTAAAAAATACTGTATACAGGCGTGGTCATGGGTCACTAATAAAATACAACAGCAGCGACCGATGAAGAAATGAAAATATTTTAAAACATGATTTTGCAAATGGAAAAACGCTATAAACTTTGATGAATAAAATTAATTTATGACAGTTCATTTTGTTAAGAATACTCAAAAATCGGGTAAAATCCTCGCCGTTGGCAACACTGAGCGTAAGCACAATCCACAGAACAATACTAGTCTGACATTTATGTTGGAGTCGTAACTCAAAGATCTTATACTTATTAGCAGGATAGTCAGTGTTTGTAATATGCGCTATTGAACAAAAGTTATTTGTGACGTCACTACAGAACCTCGCAATAAAAAATAAAACACTGAACCACAGCTTATACAATATTGTACTTATAAGCTGTGACTGAACTACACGAAACAACTCTCTATATTCAACTGTACTTAATTTAACAGTCAAAAGAACCTTTTCGATGATTCAGCCGATTACAAATTCGGAGAATATTTCACATTATCCGCTGTCGTCGACACATCGTAATATATTGGGCGAATATTATATAAGTTGCGGGTCGGTTACAAAATAATTTTTAAAGTGAGATAAAAATAACTTTAAAAATGATCTTCGGCATATCAGAGCATGTTATACATTTTTAAAATAAAAGAAAAGCAGAACCAGCGGAATTTTTATTTTATTATCCTTGAAAAAAACATTAGAAAAATCGATAAAGCAGTTGAACGCCATTCTAATATTGGTAAAATTTATTAGAAAATTCTATCATAAAAGTTTCTTACACAGTATGTCCCATTTAAGTTCTGGTTTAGGATTATGCATGTAGTTATTAGAAAAGCTAATTTTCAGTTTTTGGAAAAGTTTGGCTATTTTAAAACATAAAAGAAAAAAGAGAAACAAACTCTTTTCGAAGATTATTAAATACATTAAGTACGATATTTTTTCTTCTTAAGATGTTATGCCCACTAGGTCGTTTACGGGTACTTGTGCTTCAGGATTTTCTAATGCACTCGCCATTCTTATATAACTATAAAATTATAATATACCTATACTCATACAAAATTTCGAATCAATTAAAATACATACGATACGGCTATGAATAAATAGTCTGACTTATCTGTCAAAAGAAAAGGTTTATTAAAGCATAAACCATGGATACATGATTAAACCTAAATGAAAACTTTTATTAGGCCGATCAGATGTATTAAAATTTTTATTTTAACTACAAATAACCATTGATGGATGAGGTATAAATAAAATATCTACCTCTTGAACCTGTACTATCCCAGACAGCACACTATATATCCCTGGCATATGCCACCAATCTGCCTATTTGCCAAAATATATTGAAATACCTATTTATGAAATATTCACAAAATATATTTCATATTCTACATTCTAGAAATATATTCCAGGCATATGTATTTTTATATCTTCCTAAGAATTTTAATCCTCGATGCCTTTAAAAACATTTCCACATTGACGTATGACATTTCTGATGAGAATCTTGAGAAAAATGAGTGCTCCCATACTTTGAAAATAGCCCCCCAGGATAGCTATTCACTAAGTGCTCCCATATATTTTGCTCTTACTCTTAGATGGGTATATCGTGCTTACTCACTTTTAGGCCAGGTACATGCGTAGTAAGGTCAGAATGCGAGGGAGAATTGCGGGCTTGCCAGATTTAGGTCCGTATTTATCACAAAGGAAATTTGAACTATTTAGGACCCTTTCCACCGTTGTGTTAAACAAAGTTAAAAATGGCATTTTTACATTAACAATCTCACTTTAATCTCCGTTTAACACAACGGTGGAATCGGCTCTTAAATAGTAGATCAAAGTTATTCTGTCGACTTGGCAACGTTGGCATGGGAGTGCTCCCATGAGTTAGAGAATAGGTATCCAGTTGTACGAATTCTGTAGTATTTTTATTTTCAATGACAGCTGATCTGTAGAGCACGCATCACAAATAATCTGCATGTTACGAGGGGCAAAGAATATTTTAGAACCGTGAATAAATCGAAACCTGAGATTTAAATAATAAAAAAAAGGTGATAGAACAAAAGAGTCTCAAGCTCAGTTTTAAAGTAAACTTAATAGAAGGTATTATGATATTTATTGATCTTTTTGAACATCACAGTACAATATAAAGAAAAGGTAAGTAATACATTATAATATTGTTATTACAAATAATAATTTTAAATTACAATCATTAAATTTTAGAAAACAATTTTATAAATATTAAATAAAACATAACAATATATAAACGTCTGGCATTTTATTTTTACTGTCGTCGCGACTGATTGTACTTTTTGGCTATTTATCTTGAAATTATATTTACATTTATTTAATCAAGTCCTTTTATTATTTGATAGGATCCTAGATATTGGAACCTACATTGGGGGGAGGGTAAGATTGATATATTATGAGTTGGAGTTAGTATGCAAGGCACTACAATAATCTAAGGATTTTTGTTAATATGACTATTTAAATGTTTCCGCAAATTATATTTATTATTAAATTCTTTGGAACAAATGTCACACTTAAATGGTTTCTCACCACTGTGTATGATTGCATGTCTCTGTAAAGAAGATTTAGAATTAAAATCTTTGGAACAAATGTCACATTTGAATGTTTTTTTACCGCTATGAATTAATAAGTGACATTTCTGAGTAAATTCTTTGGAACAAATGTTACATTTGAATGGTTTATCACCTCTGTAAATTTTTAAATGGTTCTGTAAGTGAGATTTCCGATTAAATTTTTTAGAGCAAATCTCACATTTAAATGGTTTTTCACCACTGTGAATTATTAAATGACCTTTTAATTGAGATTTTCGATTAAATCCTTTAGAACAAATGTCGCACTTGAATGGTTTTTCGCCACTGTGTGCTATTAAATGTTTCCATAAGGTACTACTAGCATTAAATCGTTTAGGACAAATGTTACATTTAAATGGTTTTTCACCACTGTGTATTATTAAATGTTTCTGTAAGTTAAATTTTCTATTAAATTCTTTAGAACAAATGTCACATTTGAATGATTTTTCCCCATTGTGAATTGTTAAATGACCCCGTAAGTGAGATTTATATATAAATCGTTTAGAACAAATGTCACACTTAAATGGTCTTTTACCACTGTGAACTATTAAATGATCTTTTAAGTAAGATTTTCGAATAAATCCTTTATAACAAATGTCACACTTAAATGGTTTTTCATTACTGTGAATTATTAAATGTCTCTGTAAAGAAGATTTGTATATAAATTCTGTAGAACAAATGTTACATTTGAATGATTTTTCACCTTTGTGAATTGGTAAATGAGTCTGTAAGTGAGATTTATACACAAATCGTTTAGAACAAATGTCACACCTGAATGGTCTTTTATCACTGTGAATTATTAAATGTTTCTGTAAATTACATTTTAAAGTAAATATTTTAGAACAAGTGCCACACTTAAACGATTTGCCGCCAATGTTAGCAATGCTTTTTTGCTTCAGCTGTGTAAAGAATTATTGTATTTCAAAGTTCTGTTATTAATGTGATTTTAGTCATATTTTTCACTATATGAACAAAATAATGTCGAAAAAAGTCCAGTTTTTTCATTAATTTTCCGCAAAACTCACAAACTGCGTAGTGCTTCTTAAAATGTCCGTCAATATGAATCGATCTTGACTTGGAAGTAGGGAAATCTGCAAATTAAAAAAGCTAGTATAAAAAATATTGTTTTTGACTGTATGACTATGGATTTAACAGTGGCATTTTTTTATATGTATCTAATTTTGCTTATTATTTTTATTTTCATATATAACATACTTATGGCATATAAGTTTTGGAAAAAATAAATTCTTTATTTGGGATATTCAATAAAGAATAGACATATCCCAAGAATTATTTATTATATTACAACTAACTCAATTAAAAGTACAAAATGAACTGAAATTGAACAAGCAAGCATTTATAAATGTAAACTGTTTTTCCCTAAAAACTAATTGTGAAAAAGGGTTCCAAATACACATCGATAGATACACTTCAATAATACATGTCTTTCCTGACTAGTTATTACAAGCTTTTTCTGGTTATTTTGTACAGCCTACCTCCCTGTAAATATACCTATAGAGACTTTTCACACACCTCTTACTCGAAACATTTTTTATATATATTCATTTCTAACGAAAATACTGAAAAATTAAAATTTCACACTTTTCCTCAAATCATGTACAAGACAAAAATTATAGAGGATGACATCACAAGCAACATTTATTTGAACAATTTTAGGAACATTAAGGATAAAAGTTATAAAGAATAACTAAAGCATAACAAGCATAAATAATATATTCCATAAAGTAATCCCCCCCCCCCCCCAAGCTGCTCTTACTATGCCCAAAATCTAATGTACTCATTATAGGATGGATTAAAGCTTAACTTTAAAATTTAGTGTTTTTCTTTTATCTGTTTATGTGTTATTGAGTATACAGACACATACACACAGACATCATTGCGAAAATTGTAAAAATGGATTCAAACAAAAATCATGATTTCTATACTTTCTTTATCTGTATACCTACAGACAGAAAAGTACTATCCTGTCAATAAATTAAATCCTTTTTAAATAAAATACATTTAAAACCCTTATTAATACGTGTATGACCCCCTATAAAATACCAACAATTATATTAAACATTTAAAAAAAAATCTAAATGAATGGAGACAATTCTGGTACCTTGTAAATATCTTCTATACAAGTAGATCAGAAAAATGATAAACTGTGCCAAAAATGGCATTTTAGTGTACAAAACTGTTTTCAGGTGGTTTTCCCTTCGGTTATAAATAAGATAAAAAAGGAAAGATATGAGTAATAAATATATTATTACAAACTAATGAACTTACTGTTTAACTCTTATCCTTTAAAGTATCTAGGAAAGCTTATTCAGATTGTTCTGATTGGTTGTTGCTGCCCAACTAGGGGAATACTACACCTGGTTACTTATGGCAATTATTAATTTTTAATAAATTTTCTTACCACAACAATATTGTATAATTTTTATAGACATTGTTTTACTTACCCAGCACCCCCATTCAATCCCTTTTTTGTAAAATATTAATTGAAAAATTAAAAGAATTTTTTTTTATCATTGTTATTCACTTCATAAGATATGGAACTTGCCTAGATTTTTTTGTTTATAATAAAGATACCGACAAGTACATATGGTTGGTTCTTTTCATAATAGAGAATTGGTGAAACTAGATATTTTTCAAATATGGCTTTGGTTTGGGGTCAAAATTCATAAGGTGCTTTGCTGTGTGCTTATGCACCTAGCTTGGTCTTTAAATGAGGACAAAAAGATACTCTAGTAAATCATAAAATCACTTACTCTTATGGCAGATAGGGCAATCGAACCTCTTCTTTTTGTTTAAAATTACTTTTGCTGTACTATTTAACGATTTGCTGCTACACCAATGCTCTAAATAATAATTGTCTAAATCAGTATTTTCAATTTTCAAAGTTGGTAAATCACAATGCGAAGTCAACAATTCACTCTCAGTTTTTGGTTGTATAATGTACTCACTAACTTCTTGTTTAATATCATTGATATCTTTCATTTTAATATCAGTTTCAATTATTGGTTGCATTCTGTATTCATCAACTTCCTGCTTAATATCACTAATCATTTTAACGTCGCTAGTGTTCCCAAGTTCTTGTTTAATAGGATAAATTTGCACGTTTCCATGTATACCATTGTCAATTTTTGTGGGCAAGGACAAATACGAACGTTGCTCAATTTTAGGCATTTCACATTGGATAATTTCTTCTTTAATTTTCATTAATATGTGCGAATCTTTTCGTCGTTTGGAATTTAAAACAATCATGTTCATTTTTAAATGTTTGTAGTTTACTAGAATAATGCTCGCTTTTCTTTGTTTCCCTAGACTTTAATCCTGGTTCCATTTTAATAAACTCCTCAAGACCGATGGGATCTTGGTCTTGTTTTATGTCCATGATTTTAACAAATAATGATAACAATTCAAATAAAATTTGTATTTTCTTATTTTCTACCATAAATACACAACAAAGTCAACAAACTGTCTTCATCTTCTTCTTCAATTCAATTTTTTATAGACCTCAGCTGCCAGGGCTATTCGGCATAGGGTAATTGTATTGGAGTTTTCTGTGTTATAGGTGGATATTTTAAAGGAAATTTATTTTTTTCGTCACAGGATGCACATCACACCATGTGACAATTTGTGATTTTCAGATTCGAAAAATTTTGTCGCACTATTCTTGCTTTTTAATTGCTGCGTTTGAGAATCCACATCGGATGCATCTGAGATGTAAAAAATCTTTGATCACGTGATTCAGTATACGTAAATGTAATGGGACAGATGTGTCCGATGTGGATAAAAAAACGCTCGAGATGTAAAAAATGCATCCGATGTGGATTCTCAAACGCGGCATTTAACTGATCACATCAGACAATATTCACTTCACGATGACTGTTCTTGTTAAGGATTTTGATGGAAACATTCACACATGACTGCCGATTCTGACGCCGCCATTTCAGTGTTGACACCTCGGTGTCAGAATCGGAAGTGAACAAACTGTCACCAGAGACAACTGCCACTGTCAAAATTCTTCTTCATCTTTTTCAATTTCAATTTATGTAGGCCTCAGCTGCCAGGGCTATTCGGCCTAGGGTAATTGTAATGGAGTTTTTTTATATACAGAAGGTGGATATTTTAAAGGAATTTCTTTTTTGTCACAGGATGCACATTACACCATGTAACAATTTATTGTTATCGTTTAAGACAACACTCATTCTGGATTCTGGTATATTTTTTGAAATACGAAAATTTGATACTTACATCTGTAAGTCCTCCATATTTGCAGATCTGCAAAGTTGCCGCCATATTTGCAGATCTGCAAAGTTGCCGCCATATTTGCAGATCTGCAAAGATGCAGACGTTCTGTAATATCACCCTTAGTCTGCCCGAACTCTCTACAAAATCACGTTTGCGTGCATTCGGTATTTCGAAAATAACGTAGTTGGTAATTAGCGTATGGACCCTATTGGTGCTTGCCCGATCTCTCTATTCACTTCTCGATGACTATTCTTGTTGAAGATTTTTACGGAGACATTCACACTTGACTACCGACTCTGACACCGCCATTCCAGTGTTGATACCACGGTGTCAGAATCGGAAGTGACTGTCAAAATTGCTGCTCGTTTGGATTTGACAGAGTCAATAATATATAGTTATACAGATTGCGCAACGCGGGTCACATTGCGAGCGGCCATATTGTCGATTTGTGACGTTTTCGTAGAACCTCTCAATGCATGGAATTAAAACAAACTGGAAGTTTTAATTAATTTTAATTAAAAATAACTTTAAAAAATATAGTGTTATATTACATACAGGATTGTAATGTTACATTAAACTATTTGCAGTTGGAAAAATGCCATTTTTACTGTAAATATTACAAGTTTAATTTTAATTTTTAAGGTCCAATTCCACCACTAGTAGTTAAGAAATAAACTAGGTTTAAAATGACATTTTAACGTTAACAATGTCATTTTAATCTTCGCTTAGTAATTTAAACTTCGTTAAACACAACGGTGGAATCGGATTTTAAGCCCGTATTTAAAAACAGATATTAGCTGACACGGATTTAGGTAAGTCGTCCTTGAACGAAAATCGAAGTTGAATACAACTTCTCTAAAGTTACAGGTGGTTCTGGTATTAGAACTAATAGCGTTTTCGATTCCACTGCCCTGCCCGCGGGGATTGCACATAAAAGATGAGCGATATATCGATACCGGTTACTTTTTAGAGTGAAAAGTAACTGGTATCGACATATCTCCCACCTTTCGTATGCTCTCAGAGCAAGCCGAGCAGTGGAATCGAAAACGCTATAATATAGATGAGTTAGGACTAGCATTCTCTTCACTCTATTCACCCCTAAAATATCAAAGACCATTCGGGAACGGAGAGTTAAAATAAAAGTTCCTTTTTGATCGTTCGGACATCGTGGAGTGGAGTGTGGGTGGACATGCGCATAAGATGATTTAAATCGATAATATTAAGATATTTATGAAAAGCTTTTGATTCCCGTGAATATCAATAATAAGGAAGAAACTTATACGATTGTTACTGATAAATACGAATAGTTTTTAAGTACTGGTATGCCATATTGACACCTGAAATTGCACTCTGACATTGCGTTCGGTCTGCCACGTTCCTTTAACTCCTTTAACACTTTTAACTCCAAACGACCCTTTTAGCGTTCGGTTTAGTCCGATTAGTGACAGTTTAACACGCTTAAATGTCATTTAAAAGCACCCTAAAATTTGTCCCGCTCCAGCCCCTGACTATCCGAACTCGCCTTGAGAGTAGAAACAGTAAAACCATAGGCGCACTCCGTTTACGCCTACCTTACTCCACTCTGGAGTACACATTCCGACTCATCTTGCAGTGTAATTTTCACCTTAGATTTCGGAATATGTTCAGGATCGGTTCTGCGAAAATAGCTTATATCAGTATCGTACGTGGTGGTGGGATTACAGGTAACTTTCTGAAGTTACAAAACTATGAGAAACGTTTTTAAAAACTTATAGTTACATGCAGAGGCGCGATGAATCTATTAATGCGTCACTGTGAGTGTCACTTATTCAGAACTATCATGTTATTTCCTTCTAAAATATTCAAAAAATGGCGCGCTGATCATATGCTCCCGACGGAGGGTTAAATGTGAAAATCTAAGGTTTTTTTGTTAATATGAATATTTAAATGTCCCCGTAAGTAAGATTTATTATAAAATTCTTTAGAACAAATATAACATTTGAATTCCTTTTTACCACTGTGAATTGTTAAATGTCTTTGTAAAGAATATCTAAAATTAAAATATTTGGAACAAATGTCACACTTAAACGGTTTTTCATTGTTATGAATCACTGAATGTTGCTTTAAGGAAGATTTCTGAGTAAATTGATTAGAACAAATGTCGCATTTGAATCTTTTAACACCACTATGAATTATTAAATGTTTCTGTAAGGTACATTTATTATTAAATTTTTTAGAACAAATCTCACACTTAAATGGTTTTTCACCGCTGTGAATTATTATATGATTATGTAATGTACATTTTCGGTTAAATCCTTTAGAACAAATGTTACATTTGAATGGTTTTTTACCACTGTGTATTGTTAAATGTTTCTGTAAGTTAAATTTTCGATTAAATTCCATAGCACAAATGTCACACTTGAATCGCTTCTCACCACTGTGAATCGTTAAATGTTTCTGTAAGTTTGATTTATACATAAATTCCGTAGAACAAATATCACACTTGAATGGTTTTTTACCACTGTGAATTATCAAATGTCTCTGTAAAGAACATTTATGCATAAATTCTGTAGAACAAATGTCACACTTGAATGGTTTTTCACTACTGTGAATTATTAAATGTCTCTGAAAAGATGATTTAAAATTAAAATATTTGAAACAAATGCTGCACTTGAATTGTTTTTCACTGCTATGAATTACTAAATGTTTTCGTAAATTACATTTTTGATTAAATATTTTAGAACAAGTGCTACACTTAAACGATTTGTCCTTAAATATATTAATGCTTTTTTGCTTCAACTGTGTAAAAGAAAGTTTGGTTTTCAAAGTTCTGTGATTAATGTGGTTTTTAGTCCTATTTTTCACTGTATGAACAGAAAAATGTTGAGAAAAGTCCAATTTTTTCGTTAATTTTCCACAAAACTTACAAACGACGTAGTGTTTCTCAAAATGTCCATCAATATGAACCGATCTTGACTTAGAAGAAGGGAAATCTGTAAATTGAAAAAACGCCAGTATAAAATAATATCGAATCTCTATAAAATGCCTAACTAATAACTACTATTTAGTATTTTTAGTTGGTACTGTACAATGAAATATGACAGTTGACATTATTCTTAATTGTTATGATTGTTCTGTGTTGTTATGTGTAAAGCCCACTGTTAAGATGTGATACTAATACAATAAAACTAAAATTATAAAATCCTGATTTATTTAAATAATTCGGAGTGGATATTTAATCTGTGTATCTTTTTATCAACCCGCGGCTAAGTTTATTACATTTGTGATTGTAAAGAATGGTCCACAAAAAATATTTCTAAATTAGGCCATGATTGACAAAGACAAAATATATAAGACCGTAATAACTACGCATGGCTCCGTATTAAATCCAAACTGACACTTAAAACGAAGAATTGTACGTTTCAACATGTGTGAATTTTTCTAAGGCCTACTTTAGAAACATTTTATGTGGATAACTCCGTATGACTACAGATTTAACAATCGCATTAATATCTAATTTAATAATGGTTTTTATTTGTTGCACTAGGTGTAATTTTTTTTGCACTAATCGCATTTGATTTGTTCAGTGTAGCTTCAAATATTTGACAGTAGCACACGTGTAGCATATACTTTTTAAGTATGACAGTTCGAATACAGTGTCGAGTGTGACACTACAACAAATTAAATTCCCTATTACTTTTTATTTTCATATAGGTATATACTGATGTGGAAAATCCTGAAGGATGACATTATAAAGTTCAAATTGGCGGCAGCAATATCGGGGTGGGATATAGAAAATTATGATAATGTAACAGTAGGAGAGGGTGGAATAACTTTGTTTTTGAAAAAATTTATTGATGGCAAAAATTATCAGCGCGAATTTTAGAAAATGTCAGAAGGGTTCTTAAGAAAGTAATAGATTGGAATTTCTTGATTCATGATTAAAAGTTGTTAATAAAGAGTTAAATAAAGAAAATATAACCAGATAAAGGGCAAATTTTATTTAAACTAACAAGAGAACAGCGGAACCAGCAAAG